GGCGCCGGAGAAGGGGAAGAACAAGGGCAAGGCACCTAAGGTGTGGCAGACTCAGTGGGAGAAGCCGAAGAAGGGGGGGAAAGGCGCATGGCCCTCGGGGCCGACCAGGTCCAAGCCAAAGGGCAAGGGCGGCAAAGGGAAATCCCCCAACTCCCCCTCGGTTCCATGGCCGGACCACTGGGCTTTCAAGAATCCCAAAGGGGTGGCGTACTGCAGAGATCATCACCTCCACAACAAGTGTTCGGGATCGTGCGGCCGTTCCCACAACTGCCCGGTCAGGAAGGATGGGTGGGTGTGTGATGCCCCCCCATCGAAGCATGCTCCACAGGCATGCCCTCACCTTCCCAAGTGACAGGAGGCCACCCAGGGTGCCATAGGCCCCGGTCTCAGTTGGGATCTCAGGCCACCAGTGCGAGAGTGCACACAGAGGAGGAGAGCCAGCCCCACCAGAGCCACAGCGGATGGCAGACAGAGCGGGGGAGGCCAGGACGGCCTCAGATGGGAGGGGACTTCTCCAGGGTGCCACCGGCCCCGGAAGCCCCTCCACCGAAGAAGAGGAGCGGTCCCAGCCAGGGCACTCCAGAAGGGCGGAAGCATCCCTTTCCCCCGCACCCACCGAGGCAGTGGGTAGACCCCCCAGAGAGACCCAGAGGTGAGGATCCGCCCAGCAAGGGGCGCTCCAAGGGCGGGAAGAACCGCCAGGGCAAGCATCAAGCCCGGGGACAGATGACGGGGGGATCAGACAAAGGTAGCACGGAATCCCTAGGGGGGGCAAGCCCCACCTTCCCATGGATGCAGGACATCCCGGAAAGACTGAGGCTCAGACTGGGGTGGACGCCGAGGCCAGTGCCGGGGTCTTCAAAGCCGTCCCTCATCCTGCTGTACGCTGGGAAGGATGATGCGGGGGCCCTGGATGCCTACCTCCATGCCTACAACCCGGCCTTCTCGGAGTACATTTGGGCGGTGGATATCAGGAGAAAGGGTGGAGACCTGGGCCAGGACATGCTGGGCGAGGAGCCTTACTCGACGATGTGCTCCATGGCCATGGCGGGTAAGGTCGCATTGGTGGGAGGTGGCCCCAACTGCAGGACGTGGAGCATCCTCAAGTGGTTCCCCAAGCCGGGTGGCCCAATGCCGGTGAGGGGCAGAGCAGAGCAGACCTTGTGGGGCTTAGAGGACTTGGAGCCCCGGGTTAGGGAGGACACGGACAATGACAGCGTGCTCATGCTCCGACAGGTGTACCTGACCTCGCTGGCCTACAAGGGGCTAGGTCAGCTAACGGTCCCGCAGGTTGGCTCCTCCTTCCTGGAGCACCCGATGGACCCGATGGTGCAGCAAGAGCCCGAGCGCAGCGAGGTGCTCATCGATCTGGGTCACGCGGGCCTACGTTCAATGGGCAAGTGCACTCCACCACTCCCTCATCAAGTTCGATGAGTGCCGCCTGGGCCAGGTGGTTGTGAAGTCCACGGCGTTGTCAACGGACCTTCCTCTCCACCATTGGCATGACCTGCGTTGCAACCACGGGTCTCACCCCAGGGGAGAAAAGCTCAACTCCAGTGACCTCAGCCGGTACCCGGAGCAGATGATGCAGGGTCTCGCAGCGGCCATCCTTTGCCGAGCGGGACCCGTCCTGGAGGCGCTGAGGCCGGGAGGCATGGCGCCCCAGGCTAACCCAACGACCCCCCCGAGGCGTCCAAGGGAACCTTCTCCCAGCACGCCGGGGGACAACAAGCGCCAGTCCCGAAGGCTGAAGGCGGGCCAACAAGCGTTGGCAGGTCTGACCTTGGGCTCACTTCCGGTCTCGGCCTCGGATAATCCAGAGGCGGGGACATCGACACAGAGGACTGGCGAGGTGGATGAACTTGGGGGGGGAACTCTTCCCCTGGATCCATGGGCACACCAGGGCATGGAGATCTCGGATCGGCCCACCATCCTGCCGATCACGCACGACCCCAATATCTCCGACAAGGTCATGTACCTCCAGATGGCTTTCAAGCAGCGTCCCTTAAGAGACGGTGGAGGAAAGCCCTCATTGGGACGGTTGGCCCCGTGGGCCCGACCGCTGTCCAAAGCAGCGGCGCTGGGGGCCAAGATCTGTGTCCTCACTTCGCCGTGGGGGGACAAGCTCCAGGAGTCGCTCTCGTTGGGGGATGGGTCACATCCCTTCCCGGAGGACCTGCTGGAGGACATCAGGGAGATTCTGGCGCCGGGGGCAGGCCGACCAGCGGACGGCCCTTCTTCCTGGACATCTTGCACAGCGTGGCGCTGAACATTCAGGACCCCGACCACCAGTTTCCCCGGGACCTGGAGCAAGGGGTCCCACTGGGGGTCACGGACCCACCCCTGACCTCGCCGGGCATCTGGCCACTCAAGAAGGAGCTGAAAGGGGAGGAGCCGGAGTTCCAGGAACTCCCCCACCCAACGGGCAGGGGCAACTACCCCTCGGCGGATCACTTCAGCGATCTCATCCGGGGCACATTTCTGGAGGAGGTCCCCATGGGCATGGTGGAGGGCCCCTTCAGTAAGGAGGAGGCAGCATCGCGATGTGGCTGCGACAGCGAGGACCTTTGTCCCGGCCCCCTAGCGGGCATCGACGAGGGGGACAAGATCCGCACGATCTACGATGGCTCGGTGGGAGGGGCCAATGACACCATCAGGAACCAGACGGTGGAAAGGACGACGGCTCCGACGGTGCTGGATGGGGTTCAAGCTCTCCATTGGCTACATGCGGCAGCTGCGGAGGGACCCCCCTCTCCCTCTGGCCCCGAGGGGGGGGTGCCTCTGGCCCCTGGGGGTCAAACCTCCACCTGGGGGCTGGCCATGGCCGGAGCCGGGCACCAGGTGGGTGCTGCTCAAGGCGGACGTCACCAAGGCCCACCGGAGAGTGAAGGTCCTCAGGAAGGACTGGCGGTTCCAGGTGGCCTCACTGGGGGAAGAATGGTGGGTGAACAAGGTAGGCACATGGCATGGCCAGTGCCCAATCCTACTGGGGACGCCTGGCAGCCCTTCTGCTCAGGGTCCTCTACGCACTTTTCCCTCAAGTGGATTGGAACTTCGTCTTCGTCGACGACTTCCTGTGGCTGCTTCGAAGCGAGGGGGCAGTGAACTTGGCGGTGGCGCTGCTGGCCACACTCCTGGCATTGGGCAACTTAGCTGGAAGAAGACGCACTTGGCGGAGGTCAACACATGGCTGGGCTTCGTGGTCCACCCGAACATCCCGCAGGTTCTCATGGCAGCCAACAAACACATCCTGGTCATGGAGGTTTTGCAGACCATGGTGGAAGGGCAGGCGATGCACTCAAAGGACATCGAGAAGGCCCTGGGCCGCATCCAATGGGCAACGACTGCATGTCCGCTGGCGAAGTCGATGCTCCAGCCACTTTGGGCCTGGAAGATGGCCACCACCACGGTGGGGAAACCCCCCAAGGTGGTCAGGATGCTGGCGTTCATGCTGCGGTTCCTCTTCAACACGCCTTTCGTCCAGTACTCCCCCTACTTGCCAAAGTCCTCTTGGTGGGGTTGCAGCGACGCTAGCGCCTCGGACGACGGACTGGCATTTGTGGGAGGTTGGTGCTCCAACACAGTGGAACCGGACAAGAAGGAGGTGTACTGGTTCCATGAGCAGATCCACGTGGAGGAGTACCCTTGGGCTTTCAAGAATGGGGATCCAAAGCGGAGGATTGCAGCTCTGGAGATGCTGGGCACGCTCTTCCTCTGTAACATGATCCTCACGCACCAAGGCCCTCTGTCCTCCCGGGTCCGACTCCCGGTGGGCAGTGACAATCAGGGCAACGTCATGGCGATGCTCAACCTTGGATCCAAGAAGCCCTACACGGCGGCGATCCTGATGGAGCTGGTCTTCCTGCTCCACACCCATGGCTGCTCGCTGGCGGCCAACCATGTGCCCCGTGAATTCAATCAATGGGCTGATGAGCTGACGCACCCGGATTTCTCTGGGTTCGACCCTTTACAAAGGGTCCCCAAGCAGGAACTCTGTGAGGAGTTTGTTTTTCTCCCGCGTCTCCTGAATGGAGATGCATTTGATCTCAGCGTGGGCCCACCCATGCTCCCGTGACCGGAGCCGGTGGGTGACTCACTTCCCCTGGTGGCAGACCCCCCTGTGGCCTGGGTGCCACGGGCCCCGGCTCAGGGGCGGGCGCTATCAGTCTGCACACCCGTTCTTCAGTTTTTGAGAATGGTGAGTTGGGTGGCCCATGGGGCCCACCCAGCGTTGGTCATCTGACAGGGGAAGATGAGTCCCTGGCACCAACACACTGCTCGGATGAAAGAGTTATCGCGTGCTCGTGTGTGGTGCCGTTTGGTTAGCTTGCATACACTCATCATCATCATCATCATCATCATCATCATCATCATCATCATCATCATCATCATCATCATCATTTTATTTACCTTTTTATTCACGTTTTTTTTGCATTCAGAGATACCAAATATATAGTCACAATTCGTTTGTTTATTTGTTTATTCTTTATTCATTTAGTTATTTACGTAGTCATTTGTTTACTTGTTTATTTATTTATTTATTTATTTATTTATTTGTTTTCTTGGATGTTCATTATTTCTAGTTTTTGTATTTGTCTATTCATGTATTTATTCATTTATTCATTTATTCATTTACTTATTTACGAATTATCAGTATTGCTATTGTTGTTGGTATATGGGTATGGGTCAAAAAGATGTACCACAAGGGCACCCTGGTAAATGGAGCCAAAGAATAAAATCTGCGTAACCCTAGCTCTTTAGTTTGAGCCACACCATATGGGTGTTTCCCAAAATTCAGGACCCCTTTGGGCGAGTTTCGGTTTGGTTCCCCTCAAAACTCTCCAAAAAGGAGGCCCATATGTTTTGAGAAACACCCATCCAGAATCCTTCCCTTCCCCTTAAAGAGGAAACCCTAAACCCTAAAACCCCTAGCCCCAAACCCTAAACCCTAAACCCTAAACATATGTTTTGGAGCACCCCGGTGGTTTTGGGGCCTGCGCATGTCCGTCACAGTCGCGCTGGCTCAGAGGGCGAAAGCCGAAGCCGAGCGTCGGAAAGCGCCACGCGCGGAGCGGAGCGCGCAAGTCCTTGGGGCGCCATGCAGAGGCCGGGCGGAGGGTCGGAGCGTCGAGTGTGGAGGGTTTGCATTGGTTTGCTAGCGTTTTTGTTTGTTTGTTTGTTTGTTTGTTTGTTTCCTTTTGGTTTTAAGAGGAATGTGTCACTGGATTGATTATCTTTTTTGGTTTCATAGGTGTCCTGTTTTTAGGCTTGGATAGAAGTAGATGGGTTAGAAATAGATGGGTTAGGTTAGAAATCGATGGATAGAAATAGATGGGTTTAGGTGTGGTTTGAGTAGAAATAGATGGGTTCCACTGGTTTAGATGGGGCTTATAAAAGAATAAACCAGGGAACCCATCTATTCTTCCAAAAGGCCACCTATGCTTGGTTTGCTTAACTGTTCTTTTGTCCTTTTTGGTTTTAAAAGGAATCTGTCACCGGAATGATTTGCATTTTTTCCACGGGGCGAACGCAAATGGAAGGATTGGTTTGGATTTCTCCACCGCCATATCCTCGCAAATGGGTGCAAGGTGCATCGCCAGAGCAACACGACCTGCTTGGGATCCCATGAGTTTGAGCCCCCGGTTCTTGTAGAGCGTAAATGGAGTGCAAGTTGTTTTTTTTGAAGAAAAAAAACACGAGTGAAGCTGAAACAACTCCCCCCGGATGCGGTGTACGGTTGGACTCCAGGACCTTCTTGCCGCTCAATCGGGACCCTCTGCCGGAGGAAACCCGGGAGACGAATGCGGCCACTTGGACGCAATGGCTGAGAGTGCGCAGTGCTTTTGCGGTTCCGTCGACCTTTGAGACAGCCAATCAATCACATAGGGCAAATGCGCAGCCCGCCCATGGGTGACCGCATAATTTTTTTCTCAGCACAGCGCTGTTCTAGAATTTGCATCTCACAATTCTTTCCCTTCTGCTAGCCTTGGCAGAGTTCAATGCTTGCAGCGTGGACTGAAGCTACAGACAACACAGGCAAGCAAGAAAGCAAGCAACCAAGCAAACTTCAGCAAGAGCAGTTAGACTGTTGGTGCAACTTGTGTCCCATGTTTGCATCCTAGGATCGGCAGCGTGCCTTTGCGCGTTTCAAGCAACGAGACGCGGCTCATGTGCCACAATGAGTCAAACAGTCAAACAGCACATGGTTTTCTGTCTATCTGTCTATCTGTCTGTGCTGTTTGCTTGTCTGTCTATCTGTTTGTGTGTTGATGTGTTTCTTTGTCTGTTTGTTTGTTTGTTTGTTTGTTTGTGGTTGGTTGGTTGGTTGGTTGGTTGGTTGGTTGGTTGGTTGGTTGGTTGGTTGGTTGGTTGGTTGGTTGGTTGGTTGGTTGGTTGGTTGGTTGGTTGGTTGGTTGGTTGGTTGGTTGGTTGGTTGGTTGGTTGTGTTCGCGTGTTTCCTTTTCCTTTCTCTCTTCGCTCCCGAGGCCTTCGGGACGGGGAGCTCTTCGGTGCTATCGCCTATGTCGGCCTACTTCGATGGCCCCCCGTCCTTCTTCGCGCCGGCCCGCGAGCCGCGCGCCGAAGGCGTGGGAGCGGTTCAGACTCAAAAAGTCTGGGGGCCAGAGGTGGCTGTGGGTCAAAAACAGGGTAACCCCAAAATGGGTTGCCCTGGTAAGTGGCCATGGACCAAAACCTGCGGTATTTTTGTGGTTGAATTTTGACCCACACCCACGTGTCGTTCTGATAGGTTAGTTTGGTCAGCCCAGGTCTTCTTTTGCGCCCACAACGTTTCGATTCTTATTGCCATCTTAGGCGGTACTGGCCGGGTAGCAAGGTCTATATGGGTGTGTGTTTTTGGTGAGGGTACCCCTTCCAAGTGGGTTTAAAGGGAAGCCACAAAGAACACACCATTTCTGGGTACCCTTATTTTGCTTGAACATCCTCAAGTAGGTTCCCCTTTGAAGATGGCTCACTGGATTTTCCATCGCACCGAGGTGCCAGCCATAGCGGCCACGCGCATGCGGCGCCGCACGCGCAGCATGCGCCCGCGCATGCGCCGCAGGCGCATGCGCAGCATTCGCCGGTGCAGCACTCGCATCACATGATGCACCAACTTCCCCATGGCCTTCGGAGCGAGCCTTCGCCCTCCGGGCCCTCCGGGCCCTCTGGGCCCTCCGGGTCCGTATCTCGGATGGAGCGATCCGGGTCCGGAAGGCAGCAGGTGAGCCTGCAGGCGGGGCTGGCACAGCCCTTCATGCCCTTCGGCGACTTGGCGGAGTGAGTTGAATTCCAAACCCCCCCCCAAACAACTAACCCCCATGAGTAGAACAAAATCACGACTGGACAGCAACCCCTGAGTTTTTTTTTTGTATGTTTTTTTTTTTTTTTTTTTTTTTTTTTTTTTTTTTTTTTTTTTTTTTTTTTTTTTTTTTTTAAATTTACTGTTTCCTCTTTTTTTTTGTTAATTCATTTATTTATTTATTTATTTGTTTGTTTCTAATATGCTTGTAGGCTGGATACTCTTTGTTATTGCGTTTGCTAAACCGCCGAACCACAACTAACCCTATGGGTGTAGTGGGATGCCACCGGACAGCCGCTGCTGAGTCATGTTGTTGTTTACAAGATAGTTTCCTTTGCTACCCAGGCCCGTTCGAGGGAAGCCGAACGATGCAGGGAGATTCCCTAAAACATGATGTTTTGGCTTCCATGTGAATCTGCGGAATGTGAACCTCAGATTACTCCGGACCGTACTAATCAGATGACCCCTAAAGCAGATTATTTCCTAGTGGGTAAGTGGGAACGCCTCTCCAAACTTTGGTGCATGTTGCTTGGATGTTAGGGCTTCAACTTTTTGCCAACTAATGGGTTTTCCGTATTAAGCCACCAAAAGTTATTCACTTTGTGCAGGGGAGCAGAAAGCAACCAAGCAAAGATCCCCAGGTATGAGCGCCGTTTCCGGCACTGGGGTCACCGGCAGTTCCGCCGCGGGCTCCGCCGCCGCAGCTTCCGCCGCAGCGTCCGGCGCGTCCAGCTCGATGCCAGTGAACCCGGGGCTGCAGCCCATGTGCCGTGACGTGACGACTGGGCGCAGGGGCTATGGTCAAAGCACTTCTGTAACTTGGGGTTGCTCAACGCACCTTTTCATGGAGATGTCAGACTATTGCAAGGGGTCCTAGGGTTGGGAAATTCAGACTATTGCACCATGACTCAGGAGTTTTGACTATGAAACAGATGGGCGCGTTTTGTTTGAAGGGAACCCCTTTCGGCAAGGGGGTGGGAAGTTGGGGTGCGGTGGTCTCAGGAGGTCCCAACCCCCCCCCAACCCTCCCCAACCCCCCCCCCCCCCAACCCCTCAACCCCCCCAACCCCCCAGGATAATTCCTCTGCAAACGTTCGGGGCAGACTCCCTCGCTCGCGCAATCGCAAGCGAGGTGCATGGGGCCCACCTTGCTCCAGTCGCGGCCGGCCAACCGGAGGGAGGGCAAGGAGGCGGAAAAGCGGGCGGCCCAAGGACGGGCTTGGGGGGAGGGAGCCTTAGATGAGCAGGGATACATTTTGCCCATGTGAAACATGGCTTTTTCCACCAAAATAAAGGGAACCCACCATTTACAAGGCGGAACCCAAGGATTCTTGATGAGGGGTTGTCAAACATATCGCCGCTTCAAAGGGACTGGTTTCGGTGCCGCCCTTTTTTGCCGCCTCTTTGGTTGGGGATACCAAAGCAGGCTCCTAATTTTGACCCCTCCAGGTGCAACACTGCGGCACGTTCCCCTTGACAGCCTTATTTGAACAACTTGCAGGGGCGCAAGTCGGGCACTCTTGTCGTTTTTTGAGGCGTGGTTATCTTTTTTGGATGGGTGTTTCTTGGGAAACCGTGGGGGAAACGATGTCAACGTTTGGTTGAATTTCTATCCCCCCCCCATTAGAAATCCACAGTTTGCCTAGGAGTTCACAAACATGGTTGCGCCCGGTTCTGTTTCATTTTTGCTGTGTTTTTTGCAGACTCTCCGCAAATAGGGTTCACGACAAGCCTTCCGTTTGCCTTCGGAAAATCAAGGCACTGCCGCTTTAGTCTGTCGCATGGTCCTTTTCTTTGGCGGCCGGAGGACGGGCGCCCTGCCCCATCGCGGTGTACGTGGACTTGTCGTCTCTGAAGGTAAAGGAGCGGAAGTGACCAAGGACATGCTCCAGGCGCGGCTCGTTTCGTTTCGTTTGGTTTCGTTGCTCGCTGCGTGTTTCGGTTTGGCGCCACGGGAGTTTGCCGGCCACTTTTTGGGCCTGGATGATGCATCGGGGTTGGCCTGGCGCGTTCGGCCCATGTTTTGCGACCCGCTCATCCGCTCTGGAACTGTGGGGGTCCAAGGAAAAGCTGCTCTAACAGGGGATGTCTGGTTGGAGTCCATGTTAGTGGACACAATTGTAGTTGTTTCCATGTCGCTCATTTTTGAGTCATCACGAACGAATTCTGCAATACCTGTCAATTCAACATGTGTGGGGGGGGGGAAGTGCTAAGGGCCTCGGCTGTGGCATGCTCTCGATAGAGTACTGATCACGTATCCTTTTTTTTTCTTCCCCTTTCCTACCCAGCTGGTTGCAGATGGTGCAGCCTCATGGGGTTGGAGTTGTGTCGGTGAAAACCGTTGCTCAGTCAAGAGGGCAAGTTCGTTCACGAACAATTCCACCGATTCGGGTGTACGAGCGAAAACTCGTGAAGGTCCTTGCCGGCTTGGGAGTTCTTGTTTGGCCAGAAGGCTCATTTTCAGGATGCCACTTCAATGACCTCGCGGGGGTTTCTTTCCCAACGCCAAGTTTGCTGCAAGTTAGTCGAGGGGAAGGCTTTCAAGCTTTTTGTAATGTGTTCTTAGTAGAGTCACTAGACTCGGTCAGCTGTTCTGCAAGCAGCTAGCCATGTTCTCGATCCCGTTGAAGAGCCTTGTTTCTCTCATAAACTCGCAAGCAAAGGGCACATGAGTCACACTCAAAACCCGGGTAGATGAAGGTTGGTAAGGGACGATCCCAACCATAAATAGGTGCGGCCGCCTTCTTGATCCTGTACATGGTTCTGGGTTCACCATTGTTGTACCGGGTTTTGATTATGAATCACATGGGGCTCTAGAGGAGGGACCCCTCAAAAGCTTGGGCTTTTTCGTGGAATGTCGGGGCACCGGTGTCTTTCGTCACCATTGGAGGCTTGCGGCATGCCCGTCTCTTTGCTAGAGAGGCGGTTTCGATCCTGGACCCACGTGAGCCCAAAAGCTGGCTACAGTGGTTTGATCCAGAATGGTTGCTAGAGCTGATATTAAATATGAGGTTTAGTCAATGTTTTACGACAAGAGTCTTAGTGAATTTTGGAGGGAATTCCCATGATTTCGAAATAAGGGTCCCTGGAACAAAAAGTCAGGCCTGAGGTGTCGGTTTGCGACAACACATGATGAAGCTTCTTTTCACCTCGCTTCTTGGACAGATACCGAAATTCACCCAAGCTTGTTTGCATTTTTTCTGGCCGAAGATGAGCGCCGAGAAAGAGAACTACAGGGTCGCCCTGCAATCATGCATGCTGGTCGGACCCTGAATGATACAAATATCTGAGGGATTTTGAATGAGGGGTTAGTGACCTGGATGGATGGAATAAATGTTTGCACACATCATTATCTTATGATCTTGTCTAAAATTAGTTTATGGCCACACTCCCCCATTCTAGTTGTTCAGGTTCTTCCATGTGGGTCCGGGCGCAGACGCGCGGCTGACAAACTGTCGCGCAATATCTGCTTACAGAATTAGAGAGCCTCCCCTCAACGTGGCTTAGCAGCTGGCGAACTGCTTGTTCTACTTGGCGAATTTGGATGGCGAAGGCCCGTGACTCCTCGCTTTTGGGCCCGGAAAAAGTCGAATCGGGGGAGAGAGCCGAATACAGCGGCACGTGCATAGATACGCCCAGGTGGCGTACTTCAGTCCATTTTCCTCAGACGTCCGGTCGGAGTATCCCTCTCCAGTGGAGCACTGCAGGCGGTTGCAACGAGATGGATGCATGGCCAGACTTGGCTTACCCTTGTAACTTTTTGCCTTTTTGGGATTCCTTCATTTTTCCACCAACAAGCAGTTTAACCTTTTGCAGGGTGTCTAAGTCTGGCTCAGTTTGGAAATTGTTGGTAGCTGCGTCAAGCCCCATGTAAATGATGTCCATGTGAGGGTCCCAGACTCCAAGTCACGCGTTGTGGCAAATAGTTTGTTTTGCATGAATTGATACCAAGGGACTCCTCTTCAAAGTGATACAGTCATGGGGAAATTCGCAAAATGGCTTCATTTTTTTTGGGGTTCCCCTTAAATTCAAGAAGGGGACCCTCCAAAAGTACAGACACACCCATATTGGTCTTGCAGATTTCGGGTGCTTTTCCGCACCCTCACCCTCAGACCCCTCGGAGGGCCATGGAACGACCGGAACGATCGGGGATCGAACGATCGGGTCTCAGCTTTTGCGTCCCTCGGAAGGCTCTCGCCCGGTCGCCTATGAGCCAACAAATCGTCCCTGGAGCTCAGGGGCATCCCAAAACCGTACCTATGTGATCCAGGTTTTTTTTTTTTTTTTTTTTTTTTTTTTTTTTTTTTTTTTTTTTTAATTGTTTCTTTATTTTTTTCAAAGTATTTTTTCTTTTTTTCGTGGAGTCGGTTTATTTTTTCTTTTTTCGTGGAGTCGGTTTTGTTGGTGCGAGAGCCTGTGGACAGCCCGTGCTCGATCCCGCAAAGGCTCCCGGGTCCCGGTTCTCGAACCCTGGATTGAGCAAAGCAGGATGCACATGTGTCTTAAGATAGGGGGGGCCCAAAACTCGAAATGTTTTCCCTTGAAAACCAACCAGCAGGGGTTACACTCCGAAAAAGCCAACCACATGTGCGTGTGTGCTTGTTTGAAGGTTGCTTCTTCGAGGGTTCACGTGCTCCGATGTACCTTTAGTCCCTTTACTTGGGGGTGAAGTAAAGCGAGCGAACCCTCGGGGGGCAGCTGTTTTACCCACACAATTCGAGCAAGCAAATGGGCGTTGTTTTTTGAGGGTATTCTTGGAGTTGTTAAATCAGGTAACCCTCAGGTTTGGGGATTTGAATTCGGTTAATCGGAAACCAACCCTAGCCACCAATCCACACCACCAACTAAAAGGAAGCTGATTGTAGGAACGAGACCAAGCATTTAAGTGGTGCGGTGGTGCCCCTTGTAACACCCTGGCATTTTGTTTGGCATCAGACCTTGCGAGAGATACGGGAAAGCACATTTTGGGAACACACAGATTTGTGGGCGTTTCTCAAGATGGGCGCCTTTTCAGTTTGGAAACCCCACCATTTTCGGGGTCCTTGAGAAGCGCTCAAGGGTTTCACGCTGGGAGAAAGCTCAAGTTTCATCTGGGGATCAAGGTCCCAGCGGGAGTGGCACGCGGGGACGGCGAGATTGACGGCGGTTCTTGCGTTTTTGGTTTCGGGGCGGAGGAAAGACACCACCATGCGCCATGCTAATGCAGCATGCGCACTCGGATGTTGTTATCCTTCACCTCCTCGCGCGAAGCTGTAAAGGCGATGGTCGTCCAGCGATGTTTTGTTTTCTGATGCCGAGGTATCGTTGAGCGGTGTTTAGGTGCTCATTTTGTGGCGGATGAATCCGAAGTTGGAATATTATTTCTCGAGACACACCAAGGGTTTGCAACGACTCAAAGCGCGCTTCCGCGGTTCAGGAGGTTTCCGGTTTCCCTTGCCGGCTTTCGCTTTCGTGCGCGAGAAGCTCGCGGGAAAAAGGCGGGACTCGGAAGGCTCGTCGCGAGCAAAGGGATGGTTTTCTGCGGCGCCCAAGAAAGACACTGGCAAATGCTCTTGTTGACCCCAGGGTTCGGTCCATGAAGGGCTTCAGAGAAGCTGATTCTACCCCGTCACCAAGAACTTTCGAAGCGCCTGGGCCCTGCTACCCCAAAAGACAGAACTTTCCGTTTGCTCGCGGAAATCGCAGGAGCGGAGAAGGATACTTTTCAAGTGTGACCTCAACTGCGCACATATGTATATATACATATATATATATATATACATAATATCATGCACATTTAGATCGCAAGCACAGGGTTTTTACAATGATACAGCATTCTGGCAACGTTGAACAACTCGTTTACCCTCTGATTTGGGCATTTGTCGACTCTGTCTTATGCGGAAGCCTGTAGTATGAACAGGGCTCTCCAATCCAAAGCAGCATCGGTGGTTTCTTCTGAGTGGAGCAGCACGTGCTGATTCTCAAGGAATGAGTTGGAATGACCCCGAAAAACATGCCCTATGGTTTCCTTTTCAAGGGAATCCCCAGGTTCATTCCCAACACTTCGCTTTTTGAATGACTGGGTTTCCGGGTTTTGGGAAGGAACGCACGGTTTGGGGGATTCCTGTAAAGGACACCAGCTCGTTTTTTGTTTTTTCCTCCCCCCTCTTTTTTTTTTTTCTTGGTCCTTTCATTTCTCATTTTCTCGCCTATCGAGCCAGCAAGTCTTGAGCCGAACCCTTGGGTCTTTTCACCTGCCCCCCTGAATTCCATGCCAGCGATCAGGGCGAGGACCTGAACGCGGCAGGCGGGTCTTGCTGCTGAGGGCCACGGCCACCAAGTCGAAGTGATTTTGAGGGGCTCTGGAACTACTCTTTGGGGTGAGAACCCCCTTGAACCACCACTTAGAGACGAATTTTGAGGATACCACCTCCATGGGCCTCAGAAGAGTGAGAGAGTGAGAGAGTGAGAGAGTGACAGAGTGAGAGAGTGAGAGAGTGAGAGAGTGAGAGAGTGAGAGAGTGAGAGAGTGAGAGAGAGAGAGTGAGAGACTGAGAGACTGAGAGAGTGAGAGAGTGAGAGAGTGAGAGAGTGAGAGAGTGAGAGAGTGAGAGAGTGAGAGAGTGAGAGAGTGAGAGAGTGAGAGAGTGAGAAGAGAGAGTGAGAGACTGAGTGAGAGAGTGAGAGAGTGAGAGAGTGAGAGAGTGAGAGAGTGAGAGAGAGAGAGTGAGAGACTGAGAGACTGAGAGAGTGAGAGAGTGAGAGAGTGAGAGAGTGAGAGAGTGAGAGAGTGAGAGAGTGAGAGAGTGAGTGAGTGAGAGAGAGAGAGAGTGAGAGACTGAGAGACTGAGAGAGTGAGAGAGTGAGAGAGTGAGAGAGTGAGAGAGTGAGAGAGT